TCCACCTTCCCCCACCCCCCTTCCCCCCCCCAACAGACACTCCCTCCTCCAATATTTATTCAACATTCCCCCAACACTCAAGCACTTTACTCTCTCTTTTCTCCTCAACACCGCTAAAACACCTCAGCGCTGGCCAAATATTTCTCCAAACACTCTTCCTCTTTCTCCTTCGCCTCTACCTATAGGAGCGATATTCCTCCCTGGGCGTCAGTCATCAATACTTCTTCATCTCTTGTCGGGTCCTCCTCCTCCTCCTCCTCTTTCTGGTCTTCTTCCTCTTCCTGCTCCTTCTCTTCCTGCTGCCCTTCCTCCTCCTCCTATTCTTCCTCCTGTAGATATAATCTTTCAACATTCCTCCTCCACCCCTCCTTCAACACCCTTCCCTCCACCCTCCTTCAACACCCCTCCCAACTCAACACCCTCCCTCCAACACTCCCCCACCTCATTCAACATCCCCTCTCCAACACTCCCATCACCACCTCCTTCCATCCCTCTCCAACACTCCCACCAACACTCCTCCTTCAACATCCCTCTCTCCAACACTCCCACCAACACTCCTCCTTCAACATCCCTCTCTCCAACACTCCCACCAACACTCCTCCTTCAACATCCCTCTCTCCAACACTCCCTCCAACACTCCTCCAATGCTCTCCCACGCTAACTCGAAATCGAATTCCGTATATCTTCAGTACAAAACGAAAAATAAACAAACATGAAACAAAAACAAAGAGAAATTAAGAACAGCAATAACATAAAATACAATTTCCTCTTCACACACACACACACACACACACGCACACACACACACACACACACACACACACACAATAGACCTCCAGGTGAGTGATTTCAGACGATGGCACTCCCCAGGTAAGTCAAGTTTGCCGGAAATAAACTTTTTTTTTTAACTCAGCCAAATCCTCCGTCATTGGGTGGTGCCGTGGTGGTGTTCCTGATGGGCAAGTCACTTCAGAAGCTCAGTGATGATTTCAGGAAAGTTACATCACAGGTTCCTAACTTTCTGCTCCCTCAAGTAACCAAGAATAACTAATTTTTGCATGTCTCCCCGCCTAACTTATCCTAACCTAACTTAATCTAACCTCATCTAACTTAACCAAACCTAACTTAATCTAACCCAACCCAACCTCAGCCCACCCTAACCCACCCTACCCCACCTAAAGTGCCTAAACCCACCCAAGCCCATCCTAACTCACTCTTACCCACCCTACCCCCTCCCCCCCGCTAAACCCACCCTAAACCCACCCTCCCCTAGTTAGCATTAGTGTGGTATATCATTAGAAGAAATAAACCCTGGGGTGACTAATCCTCATGTGATCTAACTCTTCTGTGTTATGCTGAGGAAAACTTTACATTAGATTAAAACTTTACGAATCAAACTTACTTACGTCTGAGCCATTAACTTCAACTTAAAACTTAATAAGAAGTAAATCAGAAATAAGATGAGATGAATAAATAAATATATACTGAGATGGAATGTGTTGGAGGAGAGTGTTGGAGAGAGAGAGGTGTTGGAGGAGTGTTGGAGGAGGGGTGATGGAGGGAAGGGTGATGGTGTTAGAGGGAGGGGTGTTGAAGGAATGGTGGAGTGGAATGCATTGGCGTCGTCCTTGAAAGTTGTGAGATGGTGATGGTGATGGTGATGGTGATGTGGTGAAGGGCTGTTAGTAATGTGGTGAAGAGTGTGGTGGTTATGTGGTTATGTGGTGATGGTGATGTGGTTGAAGGACTAGTGATGCAGATGTGACTCAGAAATTCCAGAGATATTGCATCAATATGGCTGAAGTATATATATTGCAAATCCAAATGAGATATTGTAACGATATTGTAGTTTACATACTGAAGATATACGGAATTCGATTTCGAGTTAGCGTGGGAGAGCATTGGAGGATTGTTGGAGGGAGTGTTGGAGAGAGGGATGTTCAAGGAGGAGTGTTGGTGGGAGTGTTGGAGAGAGGGGTGTTGAAGGAGGAGTGTTGGTGGGAGTGTTGGAGAGAGGGATGTTGAAGGAGGAGTGTTGGTGGGGTGTTGGAAGGGTGTTGAAGGAATGTTGGTGGGAGTGTTGGAGAGAGGATATTTGAAGGCGTGTTGGGTGGGAGTGTTGGAGAGAGGGATGTTGAAGGAGGTGTTGGTGGGAGTGTTGGAGAGAGGATGTTGAAGGAGGAGTGTTAGTAGGGAGTGTTGGAGGGTGTTGAGGAGTGTTGGTGGGAGTGTTGGAAGAGGGATGTTGAAGGAGGTGTTGGTGGGAGTGTTGGAGAGAGGGGTGTTGAGGGAGTGTTGGTGGGAGTGTTGGAGAGAGGGATGTTGAAGGAGGAGTGTTGGTGGGAGTGTTGGAGGGAGGGGTGTTGAAGGAGGGGTGGAGGAGGAATGTTGAAAGATTATATCTACAGGAGGAAGAATAGGAGGAGGAGGAAGGGCAGCAGGAAGAGAAGGAGCAGGAAGAGGAAGAAGACCAGAAAGAGGAAGAGGAGGAGGAGGACCCGACAAGAGATGAAGCAGTATTGATGACTGACGCCCAGGGATGAATATCGCTCCTATAGGTAGAGGCGAAGGAGAAAGAGGAAGAGTGTTTGGAGAAATATTTGGCCAGCGCTGAGGTGTTTTAGCGGTGTTGAGGAGAAAAGAGAGAGTAAAGTGCTTGAGTGTTGGGGGAATGTTGAATAAATATTGGAGGAGGGAGTGTCTGTTGGGGGGGGGAAGGGGGGTGGGGGAAGGGTGTGGGAGGGAGAGAGGGGGGGAGACAGAGGGAGGAAGGGCGGAGTTTCCATGCTGGCTTCCTTGCGTATCTGTGTGTGTATACATGCCTGTGTGTATCTGTCTATCTGCCTGTCTGTCTGTGTGAGTGAGACATGTACGTTATCTCCATCCACACATAATCTAGCGTATACAATGTCTGTCAGTTCGAGTTTTAGTGCTATCATACGTATCGGTCCACAAAATAATAATAATACCCCAAATAACTCTACGGATATACCAACCCAGATTTGACTTACTCTGTCGCCTTCAGTGTTGACAAGACCATCTCGATCTATAAACCGATACAGATTACTGTATATTTATGACTGATAATTGTTATTATTATAATTAATTATTATTTTCATTATTATTATTATAATTAATTATTATTATTATTATTATTATTAATATTAATATTATTAATATTATTAATATTAATATTATTAATATTATTAATATTATTATTATTATTATTATTATTTTTATTATTATTATTATTATTATTCAACTCTTACCATTAGCTAATATCACACTAATTTATGCCTCATGTTACAGCTGAACTAATTTACATACAACTTGGCATAACAACTGACTTCCTCTGTGCGTTCTGATCTCGTCTGATGGTGTTGATTTATAAAGCGAATCTCCAGGAATCTATTCAGAATGTAAATGTCAATTAGAGTTCTCCCTCCCTGGCCATCTGTTACTGGAAATATATTACTCTGTCTCTCTCTTAATCGCTCGTGTGTTGGAGAGGGGAGTGGTGGTGGTGGTGGTGGTGGTGATGGTGGTGGTGGTGGTGGTGGTGGGGATGAATTTTTTTGGGGGGTGTGTGTTGTCGTCTTTGTTTAGATGCACAGGTGTTAATTGATAGTGCCTCCAGGTGACTAACAGGTGTGGTTATTGTATCTAGGTAAAGGTGTGATTAGTTCCTTCTTTCGTCACATGGGTTTTGATAGGTGTGATAAGTGCCTAAAGGTAACTAACAGGTGACATTTGTGCTTTGCGTGAGTTTTAACAGGTGTTGACAGTGCTTCCAGGTAAACAACAATTGCCAACGGGTTTTGACTGGTGTTAATGACCACTACAAGTGTCAACAACGTTCGAGGGGTGGTGGCAGTGTCGCACGGGTGTCAATTGTTGTCGATAATGCCTGGCACGGTGTCATTGGGTGTCAACAGTCCCTGAGGGGTGTTTGACGATGGGTGGCCAGTGATCGATAGATGGCGAGGGAGAGGTTAGAATTATTCGCCATTTCTATAAATTTTTATTACCCCAGATAGGTATGTCTAAGGCGATATAGGAACACACACACACACACACACACACACACACACACACACAATCATATAGTAGAAGTAGTAATAATAATAATAGTAGTAGTAGTAGTAGTAGTACACTCGTCGACAACAACCACACACCCACTAGTGATCATTACGGTGATAATTCAGGTGTTGATAAAACTCCCATTTACCTTTTGCTTTTAAGTGTTTTAACAGGTAATGGACTTAACATCTTTTACCTGTTGAAGTTTTTTTAGTGAGAAATTTACAATGATGGGTTAATTATGTTTGGTAAATGATGACGTTTTTATATGGTGGCAGAATTAGTGTTTTAATGGACTGTCGATAGAATAATTATTAGCTGGGAATTATGGTTTATGAGTGAAGTTTTTAATGATTATAACCTAGAGGGTATGATCGTTGATGATGATAATAATAATAATAATAATAAACTTTAATTATCAGGTAAACGGTGTTCATCAAATTCCTTTCAGGTGGATATGTTAGGTACGGTATTAAGTTTGTGTGTGATAGGAACACTTGTATGGGTGAAAGAGAATCAATCACTGTCGAGTCGCTTACACACCGAAGGAGCCGAGAACATAATGCATATTGATGTTCTTAACGACACTGTGTACCCTGGTGAACTAATGTGTTAGGTTAGGGGAGGTCAGGGGAGGGGAGGTTAGGGGTCAGGGGAGGTTAGGGGAGGGGAGGTTAGGTGAGGGGAGGTTAGGTGAGGGGAGGTTAGGTTAGGGGAGGGGAGGTTAGGTTAAATGAGATGATGAAATATCGGGGAAGAAATGCGCAATCAATACGTCGTGGAGTGTAGCATCTGTTCCAGCAATACACAGAAGACATTCAAGCCCGAAACTGTAGAGGTGGGTCGAAGTGTGAGTTACGCTCGGTAGGGGGCCCCGGTCAGGCTGGGGAGAGCGGCAGCAGTCAGTTGTGTGTCGGTCGTGTGCGGGTGCGTGCGCTCTCCCTCCGTCCGCGCCACAGCTTCTCTCGGAAAACTTTTACTGAACCTATTTCCTCGAGGTATGGTGAGACTCAGGTGTTCATAAGTGAGATCTCTTTATGCCATCACTCCCTCGGTCGTATATAAGTGTATGTTTCTTGTACTGATGATAAAACTAACGTACTGTACTTTGTAAGTACTGCACTTATCTCAAGCAGTGGGTAAGACTGTTCAAAGTTAATTAAAGATCTCGTTCGTTTAGGAATATATGGTAAGTACAGCTCTCTCTCGTTATTCCTATATGTATGTATCTAATGTTTACCTAGTGTATACATGTAGGTATATGTGTGCGTCTCTGTCTGTTGTAATAATTCACACTTACACGAAGACAATTTGTAATTAATATCAAACATGATCTTCGCATGAGTTAATTTCTTATATATTTAATACTAATGACTATGTTTATATATATATATATATATATATATATATATATATATATATATATATATATATATATATATATATATATATATATATATATTGCACGCACTAAATGTGATTAAATACTCATTAGTGTAAACTTTTATGTAATTATCTTTTTGGGAGGGACAGTACTAACTGGCCATAAACGGTCATGCACATATCAAAAACTTGTATATAAAAATAACTTCAAACCTAACCTAACCTAACCTAACCTTAACAAACCCCCGCTTTAGGTACACTTTGACTGTCTTTTGTTGGTCAACAATATGTATGATGAAAGGGAACAAATTTCATCAAATAAATTATTAGTTTCAGTTATTGTAATAGATTGACAGCGTTTACCCTATTGAGGCAAAGTTAGTGTCTTTCCAGAGCTTAATCACCGATTATCCTTATTTAGTGTGACCTAATAATAATAATAATAACAACAATAATAATAATAATAATAATAAAAATAATAATAATTAACGGGTTATTGAAAAAAGTTCTGCAGCCCGAAGGTTGAAAATGTACATTGGACATAAATGACTTATTACATACATTGGTGGTTTAACAAAAGCCTTTATTAGAGAAAGGTAAAGGAACATACAGTGAACATACAGATGTATGTATGTATGTATGTATGTATGTATGTATGTATGTATGTGTATGTATGTAATAAGAAAACTAGGTAGTATGTCATGTATAGAAAGGAGTATGGGGCCCCGTGAGGCAGGAGGCCCTAAAGAGCGTATTATGGAGTTATCAAATACGTGAGTTGTAAATTAAAGTAAATTATGGTGTGAGCAGTTTGAGGCGAGCACCCCGTGACGACATATTGATCCTGCCTTGAGAGTTGGCCCACCTCCCCTTCCTCCTCCTATTATGGTGGGCTAGGCGTTACAGACCCCCCCACTACCTCCTCTTCCCTAACCCTCCCCCCTCCCCCTATCTATTTTTGATATTTTATACGTCCATTTTCAAGATATTTTTTTATGCTTGAAATCTGTAACACATACACTCAGACACTTACACTCAGACACATACACTCAGACACATACACTCAGACACTTACACTCAGACACTTACACTCAGACACATACACTCAGACACATACACTCAGACACTTACACTCAGACACTTACACTCAGACACTTACATATACTGACATACTTACACACATATATACATACACTATCACACACACACACACACACACACACACATACACACACACACATACACACACACACACACACACACACACACTTACAATATATAAAGGTCTGTCGGTACACAAAGGGTCGGCATAATAATACATACAGAATAGGAATTTAGCGTGAATAGATATGCCAACTGCGGTATAATGGAAGAAAATTCCCTTTACCCAAAGTTTGTAGAAGCAGAAATACTGGAATTCTATATATGTAAATTTTATGTAGGTGGCGTTTGGGGGAAGATTCTCCCTGCGCCACGCTGCCCTGAATACATGAAACTCATATACGATAAAGACACACACACACACACACACACACACACACACACACACTTCTCGCGGGTGACGGAGGTGTTTCAAGATATGTGTTTTTCGTGGGCTGATCTTAGTTTATGGTTTGGGCAAGTTAATAGCCGCCAAATTATACCGAGTTATGGTCTATTATTACTGTTTATTAAGGGTAATTGTAACTCACCCAAGCAACCAAATAAATGTTTATCCTCTAAATATCTAATAATTGGATCAAAGTGGCATTAATGTTGCTGATTACTGGCCCAGTATTTAGGCTCATCATTATTAATGAGACCTTACGAAACAACGGAGTGTGCTGTGCTCTTATAACACAGCAGAGGTGCTATCATATAACACAGCAATGTGTGCTGTGCTCTTATAACACAGCAGAGGTGCTATCATATAACACAGCAATGTGTGCTGTGCTCTTATAACACAGCAGAGGTGCTATCATATAACACAGCAATGTGTGCTGTGCTCTTATAATATGGCAGAGATGCTGTGCTCTTATAATATGACAGGTGCTGTGATTTAATGCCGTAAGCTCAGGACGCTTTAGTATGTGCTGTGATCTTAAGCTACATCACAATGTGCTGTGATAAAATCTTTAATATATGCTGTGATAGTCTGGCGCGGTAGTGTGTATCTTATGTTCAGTAATGTGTGCTGTGATGTTAAGACACAGCAGTTTGTGATGTGATCTTTTCACAAAATGATGTGCCGTCATGCCATGATACTGTGGTGTGTTGTGTTATGTTGAGACACAACATTATCTTACGGCACTGTGGCATTTACTGTGATCTTAAGACACAGCATCATATACTGTGATCTTAAGACACAGCATCATATACTGTGATCTTAAGACACAACACTGAACCCTATTGATCCTATGACCCAGCAGTGTGTGGTGTGAGGTTATGGCAAATCAATGAGTGCTGCCGAGTTATGATAATAGAAGCAGTTAATTTATGACACAGCATATTATGCCTTAGACCAGACAACACAGCGACAGAGCAGGGTGAGGCACAGCAGGGTGAGGCACAGCAGGGTGAGGCACAGCAGGGTGAGGCACAGCAGGGTGAGGCACAGCAGGGTGAGGCACAGCAGGGTGAGGCACAGCAGGGTTGAGGCACAGCAGGGTGAGGCACAGCAGGGTGAGGCACAGCAGGGTGAGGCACAGCAGGGTGAGGCACAGCAGGGTGAGGCACAGCAGGGTGAGGCACAGCAGGGTTGAGGCACAACAGGGTTGAAGAACTGTAGCAGGGTTGAGGCACAGCAGGGTGGCAGAGCCACAGCAGGGTGGGGCACAGCAGGGGTTGAGGCACAGCAGAGGTGGAGAGCACAGCAGGGTTGAGGCACAGCAGGGTGAGGCACAGCAGGGTTGAGGCACAGCAGGGTGAGCCCACAGCATTACTAGTCAGGAACCACCCACCAGTGTCTCTGATTATTGTTATTCTTCTCACTGTGCCTGAAGCAGAGTACACTGTCTTGAGAGTGAAGGAGTGTAGTGTACTCGCTGACCGACACACACACACACACACATACATGCATCAAGTAATCAAATAGCGTGTGGTGAGGCGTGACAGTTATTGGGTCATTTGTCCTGTTCACAGTTCCTGGAAAATCTTCTGTTTGATCTTATCTTGATATATGTGATGTTATAAACCTTTTTGTCGTTGTTTGGAATTTGTTTTCTTGTGGTTTTTGTTTTTGTTTGTGGATGGTGAATTAGTTGATTAAATACAGGTTGTTCTTGTTTTTTCCTTTTTTCGTTATTTCTTGTTTTTTCCTTTTTTCGTTATTTCTTGTTTTTTGCTTTTTTCGTTATTTCTTGTTTTTTGCTTTTTTCGTTATTTCTTGTTTTTTCCTATTTTCGTTATTTCTTGTTTTTTTCCTTTTTTCGTTATTTCTTGTTTTTTCCTTTTTTCGTTATTATTGTTTTTTGCTCATGTTATTTTTTCTCTTATGTTCATTTTTTTCTTATTTTCTGCCTTTTGTTCTTTTTGTTATTTTCTTGTTCAAACTAAAAAAAATAACTATTGTTCTTGGTCATTTTATTAACTATTTATACAAGTGTGTGTGTGTGTGTGTGTGTGTGTGTGTGTGTGTGTGCTTTAGTCTTTGAGATCAGTATCGTATTAACCCAGACATACATACAGACATGCGATTCACATTTTCCTCTCTACTTTAAGCCTCCAGAGTGTTACATGCATTTGTCTTGCTTTACCGAGTGAGTGAGTGAGTGAGTGAGTGAGTGAGTGAGTGAGTGAGTGAGTGAGTGAGTGAGTGAGTGGAGTGAGTGAGTGAGTGAGTGAAGGTCTTGTCAAGTTCCCCTCACTGACCTTTAACAATGAACCTTTTACGTCAATTCAATTTGTCACGAGAAATCAAATACTTTTTTCACTTGGGGGATAATTCTTGATTTTTTTGTGAATGACATTTTATTTATTTATGTATGTATTTGTTTATTTATTGTGGTGGTAGATGATCTTATGAAATACTACTGAGGTTACATACATACATACATACATACATACATACATACATGCATATTGATTCAACATTAAATCAGTATACGCCCTTTATCACACCTGCAATCACCATGACTTGGTTGCCCAGGTGTACCAGTAGGCTGACCTCAGGTAACACCCACACTAAAGGTACATAATGGGGAGAGGTAGTGAGTGTAGGTGTAACATAGGTGTAACATTACTCATTAACCTTCATTAACCTTGACCTGACCTTACCTGACCGGATATATAACGATTAAACATACGGTGTCGATGTTCATGTCCCGATGTGTTATTTGTCAACTTGGGCGTGATGTCTGTCTGTCTGTCTGTCTGTCTGTCTGTCTGTCTGTCTGTCTGTCTGTGTGTCTGTCTCTGTCTGTCTGTCTGTCTGTCTGTCTTCGTCTCTGTACATTGTTGATTTAAGAATGATTTGTAGACGATGGGCTTGATGATGATGATGATAATGATGATGATGATGATGATGATGAAAATGATGATGATGATGATGTTTATTCCTCCATCTTATAGTGTTGTTTTGACGTGTACCCAAGGCTAGAGTGGGAGCTGACGACACTCTACGCAACACACACACACACACACACACACACACACACACACACACACACACACAAGACGAGGCACATAGAATGAAACAAAACACATGCTGTTCTATTTTTATATTAATTTAAACACGTCCTCAAAGGGTTAAACCATCGTCCTCAAAGGGTTAAACCATCGTCCTCAAAGGGTTAAATCATCGTCCTCAAAGAGTTAAACCAGCGTCCT